CACTGTTCTACTTCTCCCTTCCCTTGAGGAAACTCTTCCATAGTTCCTCACACAACTCCATGGAAATATTTCTGGATGCTCCATTCAGATTTCCCTCCTCAATTTCAAACTCATCTCAGATACTTCTCCCTTCCTCTTCTACAAGAGCCTCACATGTACTCCAGGGGCTGAGGATCAACCACAAACCCCTGAAATTGATTAAAAAGGGGGAACTCCCTTTTGCAAGGGTTAAAAAATCCTGATTTATGAAAATTTTTCTTCTACTCCCCTGGGTTGATCACTGCAGTTCAATTGAGTCTCCAATTCACTTTGGATGCTTCAATATGAAGCCCTCTTTACTCTTTTTTTTCTTCCCAAAATTATCTAATGGCATACGTTTTCATTTTGAAGAACACAACTCTTCCACTGCTCTGGTTGTGGAGGTGCCCTGGGATTTTGTTTTGATGCTGAGTCCAGTCAGTTCTTTTTTTTCTTCAGTTGGTTTGAAACAATAAGAGGGTGAACTGCTCTATTCATTGCCAGGAGGCACCAGCTCCTGACATTTAAGGATTAACTGTTTCACTGACTGTCATCTCAATCACCTTGTCCTGGAACTAGTTTCCTCTAAAATCCAGAACAATGATCTGGAGGATGCAGGAGACCTTTAAGAGGTAAGAGAGGAAGGAAGACAGAAGTGCAAATCCTCAGAAACGTGGTCTCAGAAGGAAGAGTTCTGTTCCAGCAGATATTTATCCCCCTTTACTTAATTTTCAATTGTAATTTGCAGAGAAGCACCTCCACCCCACCCCTTAACCTCAGGCTGACTCCATTCTCCTGGTGCTTAATCTGATGGCAAACCCCAGGTCACCAAAGATAGAAAGCTGATCTTACAAGAGGAACAGAGAGCAGGCAGAGAGAACAGCTGCTGGGTTCAAGTCCTTAAGTTCTCCCATTGTCCTCTCACATGAAGCTGAGGAGTAGGTTGGAACTGAAAAGTCTGTCTGTGTTTTGTAACTGAAAAGAGATGGAGTTTTGTTCTTTAAAAATGATTTGAAAAAAGAAAGAAATATTGCTATATTTTAACTACAAGTGGGGCAGCTAAAGGGTCCTGCAGCTTCAGGGAACACAACAAAACCTTTACCTTCAGAAAGATCTTTCTACCAGAAGAACGATGCTTACAACAAAGCTCCCTCACTCTCTCCCTTGTTACCTTCAAAATTTCTTTCAGCCAAAACCACAGGTTTAAATCACAGAATCACAGAATGTCAGGGATTGGAAGGGACCTCAAAAGATCATCCAGTCCAATCCCCCTGCCAGAGCAGGAACCTAAATGAGATCACATAGAAAGGTGTCCAGGCGGGTCTTGAATGTCTCCAGAGAAGGAGACTCCACAACCTCCCTGGGCAGCCTGTTCCAGTGCTCTGTCACCCTCACTGTAAAGAAGTTTCTTCTCAAGTTTAAGTGGAACCTCCTGTGTTCCAGCTCACACCCATTGCCCCTTGTCCTACCATTGGGCATCACTGAGAAGAGCCTGGCTCCATCAATTGTTCTAAATTGATTAATCCAATCTATTGTTCTAAACCAGAAACTGGTCTTAAAACCGGTAAGCCTGCAAACCACTCTGAGATCAAAATTAATTAATGTTTTTTTAATTTATTGATCTGCTCTCCTTCCTGTATTTGGACAAAGCTTCCAATGTTTAAAGGCAGCATTCTTGTTTTTAAGGGAAGTCCCTTCCCCTTCTGTTTTAGAGCTGCCTTTCTTTGTCCTTTCCACAATATTTTTGATACGTGATGTGCATGTTTTCAACCTCCACCAACAGATCCTAAAAGAAAGTCTCTCCTCCTGCTTACCACTATTTTATTCTTTTAGCTGTCCCTTTTAATTTCTCTCTGACAAACTTTCTTTGTTTTCCTGGAGTTTCCCATTTGGAAATGATTATACCACAGTGCCTTTTGTTGTTGTTGTTTGGCTCGTGTTGAATCTCTGTTGTGTTCGCTGCGGCAGAGAAGCTGCTGGATGGAGCCGTGGTGAGTTGGGTGGCCTGAGCACGGCTGCCAGCAGTCACGAGCTGCTTTGCTTTCTGGATTTCCCAGCTCGCTGCTCTGCGAGGTGCCTGTGGACAGTGTCTAAGCATTCAATCTCAGCATCACACCCTGACATGGTGTTTGCGTACTTTAATACAATTAATTGATGCTTGTCATCGCTGTGTTTCCCTCACAGTTGCTCTGGTGGCTTTTGTTGGTTCATGAGAGCTGTCACCATCCTCGTCTGGCAGGGATGGTCCATAGCATAATTCCAACACGATGCATTTAGCATTTGCCTGGTCTGTGGGGATGCTGTTACTGTTACTTCTTGATGCAGTTCGTTATTTAACCTAATCAGACTGGAATTGTACTTGAGCAGACGACAGTCCCCTCTGTGTTTTGTATCCTATTGCTATGACATCCTGCTCATAGACCTTCTTCTGACAAGTTTTTGATGTCCTTGCTGTGGTAGTGTCTTTGGTTAAAGCTAGCCTTCCCCTCCCTCAATCTTACTCCTTAAACTCCTAACCTTTTTAGGGAGTACAGTTATGTTTCTTTGGGTCTCTGTCTCTGGAGATGTTCAAAACCCATCTGGACACTTTCCTGTGCAACGTGCTGTAGGGAACCTGCTTTGGCAGGGGGGTTGGACTGGATGATCTCCCGAGGTCCCTTCCAACCCCACCATTCTGTGATTCTGTGATTCTGTGATTCTGTCTTGTGACATGACCAAGAGAAACACCTCAGATTTCAAGAGCTTCACCAGGGACTTTGCCACTGGATTTGGGTAGAAGACTCTGGAGCACCACAAGACAGTTGAACTTGATGAATTTAGAGGTATTTTCCAACCTTAATGATTCTATGATTCTATAAACTTAAGGGACAAGCACAGGAAAATCTTGGGTTCTTCAATATCATTCACCATTAGCTGCACACTTAGTGCTTCTTAGAAAGTCCTGTTGTCTATGCAGCTGTCATACTGAGTTTAATAAAACAAGGAAACCAAGCCCCACCTGGAGATCATCTGTGGCAGTAAGTGTCATAGAATCATAGAATCATAAAATCATAGGATGTTGTGAGTTGGAAGGGACCCACAAGGATCATGGAGTCCAACTCCTGTCCCTGCACAGGACAAGCCCAACATGATAACGGGAAGGCAATGCGTAGCCTGGAGGTTAACACATTGCGCTGTATGTGAGCAGATCTCTACATGGCAGTCCTGCTCCACCCTGTGAAAGGAAGCTGTGCTGGGCTACAGTGGAGGCTGCCACAAAGAGCCACCCTCTGCCACTTGCATCAAGTGAACAGTGGATGGGGGGGGGGGAGGGGTAGAGGGTTGCTGGTGGCCAGAGAGAAGAGATCAGCGCCTGCCCCTCCTCTTCCCCTTGGGAGGAAGTTCTAGACCCCCATGAGATCTCTCAGTCTCCTCTTCTCCAGGCTGAACAAACCAAGCGACTTCAGCCTCTCCTCATACACCTTCCCCTCTAAACCCTTCACCAATGTTGTGTCCCTCCTCTGGACACTCTCCAGCAGCTTTAGATCCTTTTTATCCTGTGGTGCCCCATCCTCTCCTTAACCTGAGAGAGAGGAGATTTTAGAGCTGAGATTGCAAACAGCTTACGTAAGGTGAATGCCTCAGCTCCAGGAGATGATAACGGGAAGGCAATGCGTAGCCTGGAGGTTAACACATTGCGCTGTATGTGAGCAGATCTCTACATGGCAGTCCTGCTCCACCCTGTGAAAGGAAGCTGTGCTGGGCTACAGTGGAGGCTGCCACAAAGAGCCACCCTCTGCCACTTGCATCAAGTGAACAGTGGATGGTGGTGGTGAAGGTGTAGAGGGGCATCTCATGGTCTTCAAGGCTGGCCTTCACATCCTGCCATCCCACCATGGGAGAGGCTGATGAGAGTGTAGAACTGACTTGGGAACGTCCTGGGAAGATGTCATACGACTGTGTGTCTAAGCTTGCGAACAGGATGCTGAGGTTAAACCTGTCACTGTTGCTGAGAGAGGTGGAGGAAAGGCCTTGGGTTTCTTTTTGCATTTAAGCTGGAACATGGTGGCTGTGGCAGTGCAACTCTGTGTTTCCACCCCAAACTTCAACACTGAGGCAAGAGCAGGCTTGCTGGGAGGCTCCTGCCAGCACCCAGTGCTGCATGGTGTCTGGAGGGCTCCAGCTGATTTCATCGAATCCTAGAATGTTGTGAGTTGGAAGGGACCCACAAGGATCATCCAGTCCAACTCCTGTCCCTGCACAGGACAAGCCCAACATTCAGACCATATGTCTGAAGGCACATGTTGGCCAAATGCTTCTGGAATCTTGTCAGGCTTGGTGCCATGAGCACCTCCCTGGGGAGCCTGTTCCAGTGCTCCACCACCCTCTGCCTCAAGAACCTTTTCCTCATGGCCAACCTCACCCTCCCCTGCCACATCTTCCTGCCATTTCCTCTGCTCCTGGCACTTGCTGGTGGCCAGAGAGAAGAGATCAGCACCTGCCCCTCCTCTTCCCCTTGGGAGGAAGTTCTAGACCACCATGAGATCTCCTCTCAGTCTCCTCTTCTCCAGGCTGAACAAACCGAGTGACTTCAGCCTCTCCTCTCCTTTAGGATGGGTGCTTCCTCTCCTGGGATCAGTCTCCACAGGGGCTGGACCAGCCAGCTCTCTGGCCCCACAGGGGCAGAGCTGTGGCTGACCTGGAGACAGGTACACCTTTTGGAGACAGGTACACCTCTTGGAGACAGGTACACTTCCTGGGAAGCTCAGGAAGGGAATGACAGACCCAAGTGGAGCTGAAATGGGGCCCTGGCAGTGGGTAGGGGTGCAGGGAAGCCCTGGGGAGGCTGGGCAGGGACAGCGATGGGCAGAGTGTAGACAGACAAGGATGTTCTAAATAGTTCAGTTCTTTATGGAAACGCCCAGGACACAAGGAAACTACCTGAAACCAGCATCAGTTTTCACATGGCTCCTGTTCATGGTGGTTTCTTTTCTCTTTTACAGCTCCCTGCGTGTGGCCAGCAGTCATGCCAGGCTTGGCTTTAGGCTTTGGGACACTGAGCATCGTTCTAGCGATTGCTTTGATTTGGAAGATGAGTAAGTGCACAAAGGGGTACTGAGGGTGAGCAACCAACAGCAAAGGACTGGAGACTCGTACAAGCTCAGGTCTTCAGACACTGAACCCTCTTATATGGGGTTAAATCAGAGATGTTGATGAGGGGCTGGAGCATCTCCTGTATGAGGAAAGGCTGAGAGAGCTGGAACTCTTCAGCCTGGAGAAGAGCAGCCTGAGAGGGGATCTGATCAATGTCTATAAATATCTGAAATGTGGGGGCCAAATGGATGTGGCCAGGCTCTTTTCGGTGGTGCTCATTGAAAGGACAAGGGGCAATGGGCATAAACTGGAACACCAGGAGTTCCAGACAAACTTAATGAAAAACTTCTTTCCTGTGAGGGTGCCAGAGCCCTGGGACAGGCTGCCCAGAGAGGGTGTGGAGTCTCCATCTCTGGAGATGTTCAAAACCCACCTGGACACTTTCCTGTGCAACCTGGTGTAAGGAACCTGCTTTGGCAGAGGGGTTGGACTGGATGATCTCCCAAGGTCCCTTCCAACCCCACCATTCTGTGATTCTGTGATTCTGTTCTAGGTTTCTACCAGCCTTAGCTACCCACTGCCTATCCAGAATATTTTGAAGTATATATTCCCTGTGCAGACCCCAGGCAACCCATTTCATAGAATCATAGAATGGTTTGGGTTGGAAGAGACCTTTAAGATTCCAACACCCCCCTACCATGAGCAGGGACACCTTCCACTAGACCAGGTTGCTCAAAGCCCACAGGATCTTTGCCTCAGATCCTGTGGCAAAGAGCAGTGAAACAAATGGAAAAGTTTTTGTAGACTTCTCTGCTGTCATTCTAGTGGTAAACTGTAGAACAAATACACAAGGCCTGGAACACTTTTGCATGCATGCAGAAGGTGTTAGACCACGTGGGAGAGCCTACTGTTTACTGCTTAAAATCCCTTCACCTGCTGTGTGACACGATCACACCGTACCCACAGAATGACATAATTTTTCCCCTTACTTTTTGCACACCCAGAGTGCTGTCTGCTTTCAGATAACCCATTTTGATCCTCAGGTATCTGAGTAGTTCAGTGGAAACCTGGGGGAGGGGGTTTGCACCAGCATCAGACTGCATGTGACTTTTGCATGAAGATTTGTTAATGGAACAGAAGATCTGAAGTTCAGTGTTCTTGCATTCTTGTTTTTAGATGTTTATCCTGACTCGTCTTTTCTGCATTGCGACTATTCAGAAGAGTTGCTTTTCAGCAGGTCTTTGCTGACAAGTGTCTTTCTGTTGGCAGAGAAAAGCTGGTATTTTGATTTATTTTTTTTACAGGTGACTTCCAGCCACGCTGCCCCCAGCAGTGGATAGCCTACAGAGGGAGCTGCTACTCCTTCTCCAGGGAGAAGAAGGACTGGCCTTCCAGCCAGGAATCCTGCCAGGAACAGGGAGCTCATCTCCTGGTCATCAGCGATACCAGCGAAATGGTAATGGTTTGCTTATTCTTTGAGGATCTTCTGTTTCCTTGCAGATATCTCAGTGGTTGACATCCAGGCAGTGCTGTCACTCCAGCAATATTTTGAATTTAAAGGAGAGGAAGGATTTATGTCTATGACTGTAGTTATAGTGCTCTTCTAGTTTCAGCGTGCATCTTAGAAGTTCCCAGCAGGCAAAGAAGGAAAGGTGAGGGTCACTGTCAGATCCTAGGAAGGATATTAGGAAACAGCCTTCTCCACTGCCCCACTCCATCTCCCCTCCTCGCCCCAACAAGGCTGATGTGAATGATGACAGAAAAGGACTGTTTCACTGCTCAGTCTCTGTACTCATTGCCTACAAACCAACACATCTCCGCTCATCAGAAATGCTTCCTTTGCAAAAGTGATGCCCCTCCTCCCCGGACCGCTCCAGCTCCTCCTGCTCAGTGACCCTTGCCACTCCCTGTGTTCATGCACGGATATTTCTTCCTCAGTCTGTTTTCAATGCTTACTTCCTCTCTTTGCCAAAAAAAAAAACCCCTCAGTTGTGCTGGTGAAATCAGAAACATCTGTTCCACTGCTCATTTTCCAGGGGATTGTATGACCATGAAAAAAAATGAGTAGAGTCGATCCCTAGGGAGGTGAAGCACGTCTGCCTAAGTAGAACAGCATTGCTTGATCTGGTTTTGTACAAGCCAGGGCTTATTAGCTCAGGTCCAATGAACGTGGACAGCTTCCAGTCCCCGGACAGAAGTTGCATTGTGTGATGTTCTGTGGGGGCTTACAAAGCCAGGTCTATGCTCGACTGGGAGTACGTACCAGACTCTCACACTTTCTTAGGGAAATCCTAAAGGGATTAGGGAAATCTTTAGGGAAATCCTCATCTTCCCCAGATTACCCATTTCTTTGCAGAAAGGAATCCTCCCTGGTCCAGCTGCTTTCTTACTACTGTCTGTGCTCCTGTTATACCTGCTCAGACTTCCCCACATAAGCAAGACTTTCCTAGCTATCCAGCTCTACCTATACTGCAAAGGCTGTGACTCTCCAACCTCCCTTTGCCAGGGAAGCACAGTCACCTCCAAACCACCAGCAACACTCAAGCATTCCTCAAGCTACTCCTATTCCCATGGTTTTACCAAGCCAGCTTTGTTAATGCTTCTGCATGAAGGTGTCTGCTCTGAAACTTTGTTTATGGCAGCAGGAGATAAAGATGGGGCCCAGCTATACCATTGAAATGTTGCTGCTGGGTTTTATCACAAATGTGGACAAGACAAACTTCTCTCTCTTGTCTTTCTCTCTCTCTCTCTCTCTCCTTTTTTTTTTTTTTTTTTTTTTTTTTTTTTTTTTTTTTTTTTTGGGGGGGGGTTAGTTTCTATTGCAGCCTTCAACTTTTAACAGTAAACAGGAGTTAAAAGGTTAGGCAAAAGGAAAAGAACATTGAAAACACGTAGGAGGAAAGTTTGTATAAAATTTAATGAGCTTTGGTCCTGGGTTCTTTACACAGATCTGTCAGTGCCTGCACTTTCTGCCCTGACCTGATTTTACCTTTAATTGTTAATACTTTGTATTAGATTGCTAGCTAGCTGTATGGTAGAGTGTTGATACCAATAGCGTACGTTCCTACGTAAAGCCCTGTGCAGGAAACTCCAGGAGACTCTGGTACAGTTGTTTCACATATATTGCCCTGAGAAATGTCCTTTGAAGAATCTGCCCAGGACCCTTGGAAGCACGCTTACTTCTTTGTAAGTGTACACATACAAGGGTGACTGAGCACTGGGACAGGCTGCCCAGAGAGGTTGTGGAATCTCCCTCCCTGGAGATGTTCAGAAACCATCTGGACAAAATCCTGGATCATGTGCTCTAGGAGTCCCTGCTTGAGCAGGGTGGTTGGACTCGATGACCTTCAGAGGTGCCTTCCAACCTCAACCATTCTGTGATTCTGTGTGATAGCTGTTATTCCAGGCATGATCTGCAGAGCTGATCTCACCTATCAGAAGGTGTGGAGAAGCAGTATTATCAGCCACTGAAGGAACAGTCAGGGGAGGGGAAGTGTCTTACTCTCTATTCTCTTTACTCATCCTTGCTTCCATTTTTAGGCTGGCTAAAATTAGTCACTTTGTAATTTGTCACCATTTCTAGGACCTGTTTAAGAGTATTCAAGCAGAATGTTTCTGGATTGGACTGAGGAACAGCACAGGCTCTGGCTGGATTTGGGAAGATGGCTCTATATTAAATGGCACCAAGTGAGTTTAATTCTGTTTTAAAAACAACAGTGCTAATTCAGATTGCCTGGTGTTCCACAACACCCAGAGTTCCTGCACCATATCTGAGGAGTTTTCTTCCTGGGTGGATTTTCTTCTTACTGTCACTTGTCAGGCATTGATCTCTTCTCTCTGGCCACCAACAAATGCCAGGAGCAGAGGAAATGGCAGGAAGATGTGGCAGGGGAGGGTGAGGTTGGCCATGAGGAAAAGGTTCTTGAGGCAGAGGGTGGTGGAGCACTGGAACAGGCTCCCCAGGGAGGTGCTCATGGCACCAAGCCTGACAAGATTCCAGAAGCATTTGCCCAACATGTGCCCTCAGACATATGGTCTGAGTGTTGGGCTTGTCCTGTGCAGGGACAGGAGTTGGACTGGATGATCCTTGTGGGTCCCTTCCAACTCACAACATTCTAGGATTCTATGATTCTGTGACCTGCATGGCACTGAACTCAAAAGAGTCTACTTTTTGCTGCCCTACACCTTGTAAAGGCATGTACCTGTGAAAAGCAGGGCTGATGTTAGTACTTCTCTCTCTACTTCCCTCCAGCTGCTCAGACCAAGAATTACTTGCCTGCACTGCCCACACGGTTTCTCAGTCAGAAAAGCACATGGTCCCTCTTGGCTTTATTGGGTTTAGCCCCCTTGCACCCATTCTGCCAAGTGCTGGTGTCACTGGGTGTGAGGGCCCAGCCCTTTGCTGCTTCACTGGTGCCAGTCGAAGCCAGAACCTTAATTTTGGCTCAGTATTTAGTTAGGCAGAATTCAGCATTCCATATGAGGGAAAACATTATGAATTGACCCAGGGACTTTGTGTGGTCCTTCTCTTTTTGTGACAGTTAGCACAATGAATTAGTCTTGAAACACTTCCCCAGCAAGGAAACTCACTCAAGGTCTCACTGTTGCTAGGTCAGTAATCTAAGCACTTGGCTTAGTTCCTTTCTTAAATCCATCTTTCTGTTCTTACAAACTCCTTGGAGGCGATCATCTTTCTATGAAACTCTCAGCACTGCTGTTCTCATGCTGGTGGATATCACTGTGTCCTGGTTTTGCTGGGATAGAGTTAATTTCCTTCTTAGTAGTTAGAACAGCTGTGTTTTGGTTTCAGTGTGGGATTTGTTATGAGAAGAATGTTGATCGGGTACCAATGTCATTAGTTGCTGCTGGAGCTCAAGGCCATCATGTTTGGCTGTTCACAGCTGCATTAGGACTGGGAGGGAGAAACACAGTGAATAGCAAAACCCAAACTGGCATTTGGCTCTGCCAATGAGATATTCCATCTCATATCCCATCATGTCAGTATATTAACCAGGGCTGACTGGAAAACGGGGGGATTCTCTCAGGGCTTGGTCAGCGGGTGGTGAGCAATGGCCCTGAGTGTCACTCATTTACAGATTTTATTACTGTTATCATTATCACTACTATTTTAATATTAGTATTATTTTAAGTTTTCTCTCTATTATTAAACTGTTCTTATCTCAACCTACGAGCCTCCTTATCCTTGCCCCCCAATCCTCTCCCCTGTCCCCTGGGGGTGGGGGGAAAGTGGGTGAATGGCTGTGTTGGCTGCTAGCCAAGGGCTGGCCCAGTGAAACTATCACCCACTGTCACTGCAGGGCACCGTGTCTATGTTTGGTTCTGATTCAGGTTCCACAATAGCAAAACTTCTTAGATGTGTAATCTCCAGGTAGATAGGGTTTCTTGGTGTATGTTTTGTTTTCTAACAGCTGCCCTTTGGAGGTTGGGTTCTTTCACTTCCTCTGGGCTCCACCCTTCAAAATCAGATGTTTTTTCTTTCTTGCCTCCAGGAGACAATCTCAGCATTTTTTCTCAGTCTCACTTTTGTTCCATGTCTCTTCTAGGGTCCTCTTTAACAGCCCTGTGCAACATTGTGTTGTCCTGATGAAAGATCACTTTCAGGCCTCCAGCTGCGAATTTTCTGCTCCATGGATCTGTGAGAAATCTCTTAGATAAATTCCATGTGCATTTTCATTTCATAACCATCTCATCAGTGGTACAAGTGGATCATTGTCCTGCAAACCAAAGCTTTACACAAGACCGAGGACTTACCCTTTCTGCACCCTCACAAAGGTGCTTTGCAGGGACAGGTTTGTTGCCCATAAGGGTGAGTTATCCTCAGTGGTAGATCCATTCCCAGCCCACACGTTGGGTTACTGCTATCTGTGACCAGCTGAGACCTGGGACATATTCCCTACCCTACTCTTTTCCTTATTTGTTCTATAAGGGCAAACAAAAGTTTTGTCACCACAGAACCTGGGTCTTCACATCTCTGAGGGTGAGCTGGCCATTTTCCTCCATTCCTGAGCATCAGATTTCATTTCCATTCCCTGCATCTCCATTGTCTGATGCCAGCAGGACCAGGGAAAACAGAACCTGCTGTTCACTGGAGTAACATATAAACAGACTTCTCCCAGTGGCAGCCTCCTCTTTTCCATCCCACTGCTATGAGTGGGAGAGAAGAAAGTGAGATGAGACTACAACTTCTGTAAATCCAGCAGTGAAAAATAAACCTCCAGTACTGCACTGGACCAAAAGTGTGTACCCATGTCATTGCTTCTCTCTGTTGGAAGGAACCAGCTGCACACCGTGTTTTATAGGCCAACCTCAAGCAAACTAGTCAACAGGTTGGACTTCTGGAGTCCAAATTATAGTTAATTGTGTGTTATTATTGAATCAACCAAGAACGTGTTTCCTTCTCCACCTCTGCAGTTTCATACTGCAGAGAGAGAAAGTGGTGGACAAAATCCCTGCTACAAGGAGCTCTCAGTTCAAATATAGCAGAGACAGGAGTGTGAACAGTGTAAAGCCACAGTGAAAGTTAAGGGTGGGACAGTAGGCTGCATTTCCACACACTTGGCAAACTCTTTTTTTTCCATCCAGAGATTTTGTTCTAACAGAGGAAGAGAAATTGTATTAATTCCCAGTTTATCCTATTTATCCTAAAATATTTCTGTGGTATTCCAATTTACTATTATCAGCAGGTTAGTGGGTGATGTTCTGAGGTGCATGTTTGTTCTGGGAGAGACAGGCTTGAGAAGGGCTGACAGGAACCTTAAGAAATTCAGCAAGGAGAAGATCAAAGTCCTGAACCTGGAGAGGAACAACCCCATGCATCAGTATGTGCTGGGTATCACACAGTTGCAGAAAAAGACCTGAAGGTTCTGGTGCACACCAAGATGAACATCATCCAGCAATGTGTCCTCGCTGCAAAGGAGGTGAATGGTACCCTGGGCTGCATTAGACAGAGTATCACCAGCAGTCAAGGGAGGTGATTGCTCCCTTCTGCTCATCAATGAGGAGGTCACACCTGGAGTGCTGTGTCCAGTTCTGAGCTTCCCAGTACAAAGGAGACATGGACATAGTGGGAAGTCCAATGAAGGGCCACAATGATGATGAAAGGACTGAAGCATCTCACATATGAGGAAAGGCTGAGACAGGTGGGGTGGTTTATCCCAGAGAAGATAAGGCTGAGGGGACATCTTACTAATGAATATATAATGTGTATGTAATTATATATATGAATTTATATGAAATTAAAGAACTAGGCAGCCTGGTGCATAGCAGGAAAGAGCTCGGGAGAAACTAATTGATCCAAACACCAAAGTTTTCATCTGAATTCTCATCAGGAGCAGGATTATGAATAGTTGGAATTGACTGTTATTAGGATTGATGCTACTGTGCCACATGCAAATAAGTGCTACAACAACTGTGAAATCACAGAGAAAACAGAAACAAGATCTTGTTTCCAAAAAGGAAATTGCTGTTTCCACCCCCAGCAATTTTCTTTTAAAATAATTGAACTTGTCCTTACATCACCTGATTGAAAGAAGCAACTTAATGCAGTTGTGACCTTCTTTTGAAACAGCAAATTCCTCCCACTGCCATTTACAGAATGCCTTCAATTGCAGATCCCTGGTATATGAGGCCTGACATTCATGGGATATGTAGCACCTGAAGGAATCGAGGCAGATGAGGACAAAAATACAGGTTTTTGTGTTGTGGATGATGTCTGCTGAGCCTCATCTAGAATTCACTGAGCTGAGGGCCTTGAAGTGGGAAAGTTACCAGCAAGGGTAGGTCGGCTTTTCAATAACCACGTGTGGTGGTTTAACCCCAGCAGGCAGCTGAGCACCACATCATGCCTTTCACACTCAGCCCTGAGGAAACTGCAAGGAAACCACAGTATTTTGAGCAGTCTACTAGGAGCTGAAAACCTTGAGTTTTCATCTCAGGTTGTCTTGGTTTACTCTGGGTGAGTCATTTTGTCTGTGCTGGAGTACACTCACTATCAAAAGTGGATGCTCTATCATAAGAAGATGCTGTCCCTGACTCCCAGAAGTATGCCAGGCCCTGTGAAATAATGCTGGAGATTTTGCCTGCTTTGTCAAAATGGTGGCAGCATCTATAGAAGGGAACCTAGCAGTTACTTTACCAGAGAACCTTCGTGTTCTTCTTGTGTTCTCACGTAGGTGAGGTGAGCATGTTTCTGAGCTTGCCTAGTTTACCTTGTGAATAGTGCAATGGCTTTGCCTGCCCTGGGATTTTACAGACTGTCTTAGTGCTGAGCTCTTCAAACATGGCCTCTCAATCTCATCCCAAATTGATGCTCAAGAAATGTAAAATAAATAAATACATTAGGTTGCCTTAGAAGTTGACTGTTCTTTGAAGGGAAAGGATTTTCAGCTGCGGATTTTGCTGTTAATGATGCACGTGGCTCCTCTGTGAGTTCAAGTTTTCACAATACTAAAGGGATCTGAAGCAAGTATATTAATTTCTGTGAAAAGCAGTTGGACAAATATCTTTGGCAGAGCTTTTAGTCTTCTGTCTAGAGCATGTTGATATAGTTAATTGATATCTACTAATTTTTTTGGAAGTAAGTTCTTCTTAGATGAACCCTGTAAGCAATGATGAATGAATACTGGAGGAGCATGGCTAGCAGATGGAGGTAAGTTACAATCTTCATTCTCCATGGCATTTCTAAGGCTGCACTTGGATCGTGTCTGATCTGTTGACCCCCAGTTCAAGAGGGATGTGGAGAAACTGGAGAAGGTCCAATGGAGGACTGCCAAACTGGTCAGAATATGGAGCATATGACCCACAGGGAGTGAGAGAGGGAGCTGGGTTGCTTTATTCTGACCAAGAATGGAGTGATTAAATAGATGCCTACAAATATTTGAAAGGCAGCTGCAAGGATGTTGGAACATGACCTTTCTTGGTAGGGGCAGAAGATATAACATGGGGCAATGGCTGCAACTGCAGCTTGGGGAGTTCAGATTGGACATGGGGAAAGACAACTTCACCAGAGATTAGTGCAACACTGGAACAGGTCACTGGAGAAATGATAGGTTCTCTCTCCTTGGAAGTTTTCAAGATTTGACTTAACAAAGTCACAACTGACCTCATCTAGTGTTGGCAGCAGTCCTACCTTAAATGAAGGGATGGACTAGTGTCCTGGTG